CCTCTCTCCCTGCTTCCTCTATCTCTGGACGTCCTTGGATTGGAAAGGGTGACTTTGAAAAAAAAAAGAAGGTCATGGTTGGATAATTTTTTGTTTATTAAATTATTACTTTCACTTCCTCATTCCCACACACATTCATCTTTTTAAGAAAAGAAAAAGAGGTCATGGAGATAAGATTTCTTGGAAAGAAGAGAGAGAGAGAAACAAAAAAAAAAACAAATAAAACGGACGTCATAGAGCCTCTATGTGTGTCTGTGTGTGTCTATATATATAAAAAGGCGAGAGTACTGGGCGAGATCATTTCTTTTCCATTGGGAGCCATGTCGCTATTAGACGTTTTTCCAACTCAACGGATTTCGAACGGGGAGGATTTGAAGACGCTAAAGCAAATCTCCAACTTGAAAATTTTTTTGGCGTGTCATTGTGCGACATTTATTCCGCATTTACCACCTCATCAAGCGATCGTTTCTTTCAACCAAGATGTCGAATCCTCCAACCTGCTCGTTCAGAATATATACAGAAATTTATTCGAATCGCAACAAACGAAAGAGGAATCTCCCTTCTCTTGGAATCGGATGGATCGAGCTTTGAGACGGCCCATTCAAACAGACCGGCGATATACGGATCCGCGCACGAGTTTTCGGTGGAAGAATATTTTTCTCACGAAACGATATTTTACGTTTGGAGTGAGAACGACGGCTGAGGACGAAGTTCATATTGTTCAAACCACAGCCGCTCCTCTCGCCTATTACGAATCATCGTCCCCCAATCTGAAGGAAAGAAGTTTTAAAGTCAGCGACAGGATGAAATATAAGAAATATATTCTAAGACCTTTTCAAAACTATGTCGTTCCCCCGAAAACGCAATATCTCATCGTCACAACCCAGAAGAGTCTCTTTCTCGTCGATCGGTGCTCGTACTCGCTTTGGAAACAATTGAAAGAGGAGATTTCTTTCCAATCGCCGATGATGTTTCAAGAAAAAGAAGAAGAAAACCCTCCGCCACCTTTACCCATCCCTTCCTTAGATGATAAGAGGAGCTGGACCAAACCGTCATGGCCCGAAACAAAATCGACCCGGCAACGGAATGAAATTGAAGTCATCACAATTGAAGATGAGGAGGAAGAAAAAAAATTACCTCTTAAAAAACGGTCGACTTACCGGAACCTACCTGGCGTGCAAGATCCGCTTCAGAACCCAGAAGCTTCTTCTTCTTCTTCTTCCCGACTTGTTCAAACAGGCAACCTCTTTCGGACTCCTCACAGACAGAACCTCTTCCAGTATCCTCTTCTTCTTCTTCTTCTTCTCTCCTCCAACCTGTCCCGACATCGTAGAGGTAGAATGTCAGACGGGTCCACAAGTTCCAACGGGTCCAGAAATCATGGAGGCAGAATCACAGCCGGGTTCACAAGTTCCAACGGGTCCAGAAATCGTAGGAGGTAGAATTTCAGCCGGGTAAACAAGTTCCAACGGGTCCAGAAATCATGGAGGTAGAATCGCAGCCGGGTCCAGACATCCTAGATCCCTCCACTCATCCCAAAGAGACTCCAAGTGTTTCAAGACAGCCTTGTGAGGATCCAGCCCTTCCCGTATGGAATGATTATATGGACTTACAAAATTTGGTGCAACAGGAAGGAGAAGAAAATAATCATACGGATGGGTGGGTCAAAGACTGTTTAGATCATTTAACCTCGAATGAAATTGAACTGTTATGGAATTGCATTTCTGAAATCACATCGGAAATGGGATAAAAACCAAAACAAAAAAAACAATTTTTTTAATAACAAATTGGAGGAGGGTCATGATGTCAATTAAAAAAAATATTATATAGAGTCCAATCTTGGTGGTTCACTTCAGTTTTCCAGCATGAGGTGATCCACGTTTCCCGAAATATGGATCCCATTCCAAGAGAGATTGTGTAGAGCCTTCACTTCAGTTCTTTTTTTTTTTTCTACCAAGAGGAGAGGGTCCCCAAAGGGCTACCCATGTCCAAAGAGAGAAAGTGTAGAGCGTTCATTTCAGTTTTTTTTCCAAGTTTAGGGGAGGGAGGTCTCAAAATGACACCCCCCATTTTTTTTTCCAAAGTTAGGGAGTTTTCAAATGACTACCCATTTCAGAGAAAGAGAGAGAGAGAGAGAGAGAGAAGGTGTAGAGCGTTCATTTCAGTTTTCCAAGGTTAGGATGGTGGTGGAGAATCCTCCAAAATGGCTACTCATGTCAAAGAGAGAGAGAGAGAGAGAAAATGCGTAGAGCGTTCATTTCAGTTTTCCAACATTAGAAGGTCCCAAAATACCTTCTGAATTCAAAGAGAGATCGTGTAGAGCGTTCATTTCCAGTTCTCCAAGATCAGAAGAAGAGGGTCCGCTTTTCCCAAAAGGGCTTTCCGCATTCAGAGACAGCGAAGTGCAGACTTCAGTTTTCTCCCTCCCCAAGAATAGAGGGTCCCAAAATGGCTTCCCATTTCAAAGAGAGAGGGAGAGGCGTTCATTTCCATTCTCCAAGATAGGGTCGTCTGCTTTTTCCCAAAATGGCTTCCCAATTCAAAGAGAGAGAGAGAGAGAGAAAGGGTGTGTAGAGCGGTCATGTTCATTCTCCAAGATAGGGTCGTCAGCTTTTTCTCAAAATGGCATCTCCCCATTCAAAAAGAGATCGTAACCAATTTTTTCCAGTTTTTTCCAAGATGGGGGGGAGAAGAAAACCTAGGATGGAATAACACGACACACAGAGAGAAAGAGAAAAAAAAACGCCATCTTGTCATTTTCTGATAGGGTACCGGTGTTCGAATACTTTTGACGACTTACAGTTTATGAGAAATATGTCATGATAAAATGCAAAAGTAAAATAAAAAGAATTTAAGTGATAATGAAGAGATGCGATATATTTACATAAGGATTTTATTTGCACTGCCATTTTAACTAATTAAAACAATAATAATATATAAATAAAAATGAAAACAAATATAGGTAAAATAAGAATATATGATTCATGATTAAATATAAGAAACACGTTTCAAAATGAGAAAAGGTAACTGTATTATACCGTCTACGGGTGAGGTTCGAACATGCCACCTTTCCATTCCTCCGCCACCAAAGCAGCTCGCTGACCACTCAGCTATCTGTGAAAGCAGTGTTTGTGAAAAATAATGTAGTAAGTAGAAGTCGCTGCAAAGGTAATTTAATTAAACTTCAATAAATGATTGCTGTATGACACAAGTTGTAACTTTCCTCCAAAATTTCGTAATTGTATTTTATTGAATACTCTTTCACAGTCAAATGCTTTATTTTAGAAGTTATTATATTGCTGAAGTTAGTTTTTGTATTTAATATTGGGATATTTACAGAGCTTTTTATTACACATGATATAGCCAATATTTATAATAATTAAGGAGAATTTTGTAAGGCAGAAACTTTGATTTCGTAGAAACTGTAATTTATTTAGGTTCCTATTACTTACGGTGTTATAAATAGGTGAAGCATATGGATATACTGGTCGGATCATTGCTTTATAAGTATACAGTTTTCCCCTTTAATGAGAATTTTTAAATGTATACTAATATGTACGGTTTGAGAAATCTGAAGATGGCGTGAACAATGCTGATTATTTTATTGCTGTATACAGTTATATTTCTAAGCAAAAATTCATCTCTGTGTGGCTCTGACGGCATATTGAAACGGGTAAAGCAAGAAGGTTTTCTGGTTATGACACGTGATAAGAACTCTGTCGGCTATTGGCTATACGCGCGCGTCGCGGGCGAAAAAGCTGAACAGGAGCGTACTCAGTTTTACGTCTTCTGCGTCCTGCGAATTTACGCCGGTGTCAAAAAAGTTACAACTACGTCGGGAGCGTCCTCGTGTGGACGGGCCTTAAGATGGAGATGAAATCGTTAAAACAGGTTTTTCTACGTACTTTCTTTCAAGATGATGAGGAAGCTGAATGAATCCCCCGAGTCGCTTTTTCAAATTCCTTTCCTTTCTAATTCTTTTGTTGTTTCTACGTTCTCATTCTTTGCTAGTTTTGAATTTTTTTCTTTCTAGGAGAGTTAGCTAAAGCTAACCTAACTAGTTTTAAGGGTTTTTTGGGGGAGGGGGAGAAATCGGGATTTTTTATCTTTACATGGACCATGTTCAGAATTAATGTTACTATTTGCGGTATCTCCTATTAAAACTCTAAAGGATTTTTCAAGGCATTCTTGTTCGGTGCCCGGTATTGAATACAGAGGCAAGTTCAGATGTTTGGCAAGATTGGCTAAAGAGCAAAAGATTGTCTCTGTTCCTTTCTCCACTTGCTTCAGCTTTAAGCTGGCTATAGGTGATCTGCCCTTGACTCAGGATAGAGTTATCTCCATTTCTGCAAATCTGTTCTTTAGAGATTAAAGTTGTTTAATCTCTAAGACACGGCTTTCAAATGTAATTGTGCAGAATGTAGTAGCATCGGCTGAGCTTGTCTCCATCATCGTGGAGTGCGCTGAGGGGCCGGCATCTCTGATGGTAGTATTACGAGAAGTGAGGAACTCATAATAGCCAGTGTTATCTCCTCGAAGGTCACAAGTTGAATCCGCTGGCTCACGAAGCTCCTGAAAAACACATTCATAGTGGTTCGGCGTCCTCCATGTCTTTTTTCGATTCTAAAAAGACTCAATTTCTTTTACAAATGCCATTTTTATCTATAGTCCAGTTTATTCCTGTGTTTTCTCACATTTCATCTTAATGATTTATTACGAGATGTAGTGTGAAATAACAGTTTATCTAACCTAATAACTATTCTAAATTATAAAAAAAAATTACAGAGTTTATCAAAACTTGTTTATGGTATCGAAGAATTTTGTAAGTAGTTATTTTTTTTAATTTTTCGTTTTTAGTTGAATAATAATTATTTTTTTTTTAATTTATAATTAACTGAATAAATTTTAAAAAAACAGAAATAAGATTGCTTGATAAAGTCACGAAAATAAATAAGTAAATAAAAAACATATCTGCCTTTATCTCACTTATCATATTGCGTTCTAAGAGGAGCGTTTGCGTGTTCGTTGTGCAATCAAATGTATTCGGGCGAAGTAGTGTGTTTGTGTGTAGTGTATTGCTACCTAAGTGAAAAAAAATTATTTACGATGTAGTGTTCACGCAGGCTGTTCTAAATGAACAGAGTTAAAATGATCCATCAATTTTAATTTAAAGATAAACTGCGTGATCTCCTGTTGAATTATTGTTTTCTTATCAGTTGGTATAAGTAGAAACTAACATCTACTTGCTCCGTTTCCGATGGCTTGGCAATATATTTTGTTATAAGCGGTAAAATGTAATTGATATTTATGGCTTTCGAAAAATCGAATTAATGTGTATTTTTATAAATGTAGTAATTATTATGATTTAGGATTTCTAAAAAATATTTTTTATTAATAGATTAACCTTTCCAATGACATTTACAAAACTTGTAATTCTTTCTTATTTTATTGATAATGTTTTTAGTAGTAGAGGTTTTCTATTTATTTAATTTTTTTATAATTAAAAAAAAAGTTTGTTCTATCCGATTTTTTCAATAATTAACATTTCTTGGTTTATTTGTTATATTTCAACCTTTCGTTTGCAGCAGCTTTTTATTTGCTCTTTGAAGGCTGATTTTATCATTTGTGATTTTCTTAAAATTTACATTTGGATCAATTTTTTAATAGGTGATGGATTTTCATGAATTTGTTAATTCATTAGTATGATCTAATTCATTTAATTCTCTGTTTACAGTAGCATTTAACTGAGTTATAAGGTTGTTATTATTCATTTTGAATAGTAATAATTGTTATCTTTTTTTTCCCTCTCTGAATGTTAAAACTATGTAAAACTTGGAAAGCAATCTCATGCACCTGTTTTTAAATGTATGGAATTTTTTTAAGAATCAGTGCCAGACTGAAATGAAGTTTTACTTGTTTTAAGGTTTGAATTGACATGCATTGTTTAATCAAATTCAGAGCACAGTGGTAAGGGTAGTCTCTATCATTAACTAATACCATATGTATTATTAATTGTTACTAATAATAAATGCATGAAAGCAATAAAACTCATTCTGTATTAATATTAGGTTTTTGACGCTTGATTTTATTTTATTTTTGAATGACAATATAATTTAGTTTAAAATTTGAAAAATTTTGTTATTTTAAGTGAAAAAAATGGGAATGTACTTTTTAAATAGAAGAAAATTTGTATGAATATGAAGGTAATATTTTTTACTTTATTCATTGTTTCTTTCATATGTCATAACAGATGCTTTTATGAAAGTAATTCAATTAATCATAATTCATTGTAGAATTATATGGTATGTTTTTTATTTTTGTGTTAATTTTGCAATTTTTTTATCTTGTGATATATTTACTGTAAGAGAAATTCCAAAAATAAAAATTTTTTATGCTTGATCTCTATGCTAACTTCAGGGGCGTAGCTAGAGGGGGCAAGGGGGACATCTGTCCCGGGGTGCAGAATCCAAAGGGCGCCAAACTGATGTTACAACATTTTAGAATTAAATGTTTTCCATCCTTGGCAAGCAGTAGGGGGCGCGAAATTTTCAGTTGTCCCTGGGCGCTGAAAACCCTAGCTATGACTCTGGCTAGCTTCATATGTCATTTTTTTCTTTATTCATTTAAAGTAGTTTATGATATTAGAGCCTTTAAAGAAGTAAGAATTTTTCATTAGAGTCTGTTGAAAGCATTCAAAAGCAGTCCAGTTTATAGCAGTTAATGGCCATCATGACTTTCTTGGAGGTTGTAAAATTAATCAATTCTTTTTATTGCAAAATTTTTAAATAATTAAACAGACTTTGTTCAAAATATTTTGTTAAAGGAACTATATATTTCTTAATTTATATTATGAAAGCATATAAGATTATGGTGGTTATAAATTAAAAAAGAGCAATTAATATACTCAGTTAATTTTAGGAATCTCCATGCCTGAAAGAATTCTTTGCCCTACGTCAAGTGAGAAAAAAATCTTAAGCCCACTATATATAGTTAGCTTGGGATGTGTATGCCCCAGCCTCTGAGATGAGGTTAAGCAATCTTGGAATCGTAAAAGTGAACCAACAACCTGTGTTCGGTGTAGATTTTTAACATACACAGGTTGTTGCTGCACTTTTATGATTTATTTGAAGCGTGTTTCTCTTCTGTCTTTAAATCTCGGAATGTTTGAGTTGTATATATTATTGTATTAACGGAATTATATTATTATTTATTAAAAGGAGAAAAATAATTTTTTATAGAGTTTAATAGGAACAAGAAATTTAATAATTACTGGTATTCATGTAGTATGCAATCTACTGCTTTAGTAATTTATTTCATTGATGGCACTACTGAAAAATTGTTTTTAAATATGGAAGTAAATATGAAAACATAAATGAAAAAATTCCATTAATTAATTTAATAACGCATTATAAATTTCTAATCCTACGAAATTTGAAGGTCGAAGTGTTTATGAGGAGCAAGTTGTCAAATGAGCAAGTCACCAAATGTGGCAATATGTTTCCTGCGCTGGTTTTTGGTGCGATTGTGTGTTGTATGGCAACCCTGCTGACGTTGAAAAATCTTTCGCTGGACCTCATTGGTTCGTGTTTGTGTCTGAGAAGATGGGGGAGGGGGGAAATATAAAATGGTGGAAGTTGTTGAATTGAAGTTCGGCAAAAGGAAATATTGTGACCATCCTGTTGAGGGGCACTGGGTGTTTGGAGGAGTGGAAAGAGGGTCTGGGAGATTATTTTTAGTGGCTGGACGATAGAAGTAGAGATTTGTGATTATTGGAGTTTTTATTTGAACCATAGTATGAATTCTGGATGTGTGTCTGGCTGCCCATATAAATACGTAGTGATACGAGGCGAAATGTAAAGGCGTATGAAATTGGTATTTCTGCTGTTCGAAAGCATTAATTCATGGTAAGTGCATTTATTTATTCTTGTTCTTATTTTGTAGAATGTATGTTCATTCTTTTTAGTTGAATTTCTGTCTTATTGTTGCTTTTTGAATTGTTTGAAATGTATTTTAGTTTATTTTGTTGATTAATGCCTAGTGTCTAGATTGTGCATTCATACATGTTTTTAAGTTGAAACAGAACACTGTGTACATGGTTCTTGAAATTTATTGTTGTTGTTAATTTATTAAAGCAAGGTGGAGTAGTTCGTAGATTCATTCGTGCCTAGTGTGCATTCGTAGATGTTTTTTAAGTTAAAACATATCGCTGTGTACATGGATTCTTGTCAAATATTTTAGTAGAAAACTTTACGTTTTTGCTATCTCAATTTTTTGTTTTTGTTTTGGATTTTTAGCTTAAATTGTGTGTTCTAAACGTGGTGTTTGCATGTGCGAAATCCACGTTATTGGAGACATTTTAGGCTTAAAGTTCGAAATGAAGACAAAAAAATTTAGATAGTAATATGGTAGCGTGGAGTTTCTCGGCAAAAATGTTTGGCGAGAAATTTGGCGACTTGAGGGTGCATATCAGAGTAATTCCGAAAGCAATCTTAAGTTCAAAAATGGGGATTGAAAGTATAAAAGTAATATATTAAATATTATTCGTAATATATAATACATTGATGTTGTTCATTCCCTGTGCAGAGATTTTTTTCCCCACTGTTTCCACTTAAAAATGGATAAAATATCGGAGATAGCGCAAATACATCTTTGTGCACATTAACCCTTTTGAAACGATGTGCCTCTATTTATGACACTCCCTCAGGATAGATGGAAGTCGAAAGTAATTGTCCCACAGGACAGGGGTTTGGCATCGCTAAGCCTAACTTTAGGGGGAAAATCACAAATAATTAAAAAAGAAATTTGAAAGTTATTTATTTATTAAATATGTTCTTAGCACTAAAAAAATTAAATCAGTACAACAGCAATATCACAAAATAATTTAAGAAGAGCATATCTTAAGAAAATTCCCGATACACAGTCTCGCATGCTAGAGGTAAAGTAATTTTTTTTTAATAATTTAAGAAGAGGGTATCTGAATTAAGAAGAATATCATATGAATTAAGAAGAGCATATCTGAAGAATTCCCGATACACAGTCTCGCATGCTAGAGGTAAAGTAACTTTTTTTCCTTACAATGTTGCCATTTCTAGCTTTGAAATCGTTGAGTTTCTTAATCAAAAACTCATAAATAGTTAGAGTATATTTAAGGGTGCTCCTTGGATTATCGCTAAATTATTGTTTCATTCATCGCCAAGTTGTTGTTTCATATATGGCAACCTGAGTAGTTGAATGTTATGAAAATCCTATTATCATGTAATTGGTTACGTGATTGCGGTGGATTTGAATGATGGGAAAAGATTTGTAAAGGCTTGTTTGTGGATGTTGGCTAGGAAGTACATTGTTATTTTGTGGTTTACATGGTAAAATGGTTGCATGTGGTAAGATTAATTTGAAGTTTCTGTATGATTTGGATTAAAAAGGAAAAAAGAATTAATCGATTGGTGTATAAATGGAGGTTTACATAGTAGCCATTATAAGTGTCCTGTTTGTACGAAGGAAATGCGAATGGTCAAATGTCGGAGGATACCGGCACTATAGAGGATATTTTTTACTTTTATTTTTGTAAATTTATGTAGCGACGCCAATATAAAAATTCTAGTTCGAATAATTTCAGGAAGTTTTTGGATGCTATTAAGGAATTTTGTTTGACTGAAGACACAGAAATTTCTAAATAAGGTAAGAGGGTATTTTTTTTTGAAGTGAAAATAGGTTGATCTGTATATGGATACCGAGTTTGTGCAGTTCTTTGACTTTTTACTTTGTCCCAAAAATCACCGCTACACAATACCAAAATAATAAGTCAAAGAATCGCATAACTCAGCGACCATGTACCACCAAAAATTGCCAATTTTCACCAAGCAGCACTTGTAAATATATTTTTATCCATAAATGCTTTCAAAATATGAAATAGACAATAAAACAAATTCTGAGTTTGGGCTTCCAGATGCCCATATTCGGGTGGAGGCATACGTTATTCAAAGTTTGATGGCTCTAGGTACCGCAGTTTTATCACAATACAAGAAAAATACATACGTTTGAAAATTTGTTGTGAAATTTGAAATTTTGAAAAGTGAAATGCTGTTCATAGTGAAACACCATAAAATGCCAAAACAAAATTAATAGCCCTCCTAGGCCACCGTCCTTTGAGCTAAAAATTGTTTTAAGTCCTAATGTCAAACTTTTTGGTATTATTTTAGATTATTACTTAAGCTTACATGTACTTTAAATATAGCATTTAATAATCTTTTTCCTTTACTTTACTTGAAAATATATTAAAAAAAAATTGCTTAAT